GCTGCTATTAGCTAAGGATGGGCTGGCCCAATTCGAGTCCATGTGCATGAATGATCCGAATCACCCATTTGCTTTATTAATGTTGCAAGACTGATGGGCCTTGGACCTTTGCATGTTTGCCCCTATAGATGGATTGTAGAGTCCCCCAACGTGAAGTCCACGGTAAGACGAGCCCAGTCACAGATCATGAGGCCTAATTGTCTTAACCACTGAATGCCTAGCACCACGTCCGCTCCACTAAGATGAAGGGGGTATAGGTCCACTGGAAACTAGTGACCCTGAACCTTCAGTGGTAAGCCCACACATATATTGTTGCAAGATAGGCTATTACTGTTGGCCACATGTACCGTAAAAGTCGTTGTTGGTTGAACTGGGAATCCTAGTTTATCCACCAAAATTTGAGTTATGAAATTAAGGGAACTGCCACTGTCTATGAGGATTGACACGTGGTGCCCTTGGATTAACCCGGCTATTCTCATTGTTTGCGGGGACACAAGTCCCGTAAGGGCTTGTAGAGATATTTCAGGTGTCCCATTGGGTTGTATTTCCCACCCGAGGTCAGATTCCCCGTAACCGATGAAGCCACCTTCCTCCTCGGTCTCCACCTGAAGGAGAAATGCTTGTTGTTTCTTGCACCGATGGCCCAGCCCGAATTTTTCTTCGCAGTTGTAGCAGAGGTCTTTGTCTCTGCAGGCTTGTATTTCAGCCCAGGTCAGTCGTTTGAATGGGACGGGTGGACCTGAACCTAGTATTCCTTCCTCCTTGTCCAGTGCTGCCGGTCTGGTTATAGAACCCCATGGTCGATGTATCCTTCTTGCTCGAGCGAACTTGTCTTCATACAGCCTTGCTAGCATTGCTGCGTTTATGACCGAAGTAGGTTGCATCGCCTTTACTTCCAGTTGTAGTTCTTCCTTCAAACCGCCGACGAAGCTTCCTGCTAGCGCTTTTTTCGTCCACCCTTGGACTCGCACGACCAGCTTTTCGAACTCCATCTGGTAAACTTTAACCAATCCCATTTGTCACAGTTTTGCAAGATTCTCATCGTGATCTTCTAACCCAAACAACCCAAAACGGATGGTCAAGGCATCGATGAAGTCTGCCCAAGATTGGCGAGGGTGCCCCCATCGGTACCACTGGTTACCATAGGATAGCTTCTCCCTCAAGATGTGTCGAATCTAGAGCCACCCTATCATGCCCAAGTGTCTCATGGTAATCGAAATAACATTCGGCTTTGAGAATCTAGGGAGTCGGGTCGCCGCCTGAGAAGATGGGGAAATCGATTCTTGCTGCTCGCGTTGCCACGGACCCTGTTCTATGGTTGTTTTCATTGTTGTTCTCCTCTTGGCTTTCTCTACCGTTGTTTGTTGGCATTTGCTCTAGCCGGTTGAGGAGAGTGATGAAGCCTTCCTTCATTTCTCTGAGGTCTAATGACATCCGATGGATCTCTACCTCCATCTAATCCACTCGGGTGTCTACTGATGTTGTCCTTGTGTTGGTCATGTTGGCTCTGATACCAACTTGTTAGGAACCTGCCTAATACAGGGCTCTTCGAGGGAGCTAACCTCCTGAATTTGAGAGATAGGGGAGAGGGAGAAAAGAGAGAGAGAGAATGAATGATGATAAAAGATCGATCCTCTTATTTCCCCTGTTTTTGATTATTTATACTGTTTTACAGAGCTCCTCTTCTTACATTCTTTAATTTCTTTCTGTTAAAACCAATGCAAGTGGACGATCAGTTAGTTGAGTTGTTGTGCTGACGTGGCCTTCTCTTGTAAAACTTACTAACTATTTTTTGTTGTTCTGTTTCAGCAACCTTAACAGCTACCCACTCTAAATTGCTCATACACAAGAAAAAATGTAAAATTCTTTTGGTCTCTTGACAGTGCAACAGCAAGTCCATGTTTTTCAAGCACATGATACATGCTTAGGTGGATATGAGCAGAATCATAGGTTGGTTTTCCATCTTTTATAGCAAACTATCACAAGTACTGATCTTGTTATCTGCTGCTTCCTAGATGAATAAACATACCCAGGTCAAACCAAGGGTAGGGGTGTAAATGGATCGGATCATGATCCGATCCGATCTGAGATCTGATCTATTTGGTCGAAATCGGATCACCCTTGTTCGAACCTTCAGATTGGATTCGGATCCCCCATCTAATCCAAGGAGATCCGGTCCAATATATATTATATATTTATAAACATAAATATATATATGTATTTTATGTTATTTATTTATTTATAAATATATTTTTATATTATATTTTTATAAATTTGTTATATTTTTTATTTTTTATAAAAAACATGTATATATAATGAAAATAGTTTTACTTTATTTTAATTAGTATATTTTATCTTTTAATAATTTATTAATTTTTAAAGAAAACAAGTCAGATCGGATCAGATCCGAAGATCCGACTTACCGATAGGATTCAAATTCAAATCAAGTCCTATCAGATCCAATCGGATCCTACATGAACAATGTCGGCAAATTCGAATACACCCTGATTCGAATCCGATCTGATCCACCTGCATCCCTAACCAAGGGGAGCTAGATCCTTGAAGTGAATAACACCTATGCAGAAGAGTTAGAGCATGTAGATCAAACCTTAAAAAAAAAAAAAAAAGTGCCAGCCAGGTCTAGGGACCAAATCCTATGATCAAAAAAGGAGATATAGGCCCCATCATGGTTCACAATATGAACGGAATTTGGAGAAAGTTCCCCCAAAATCTCCCCATTTTGCTAGGGGGTGCTACAAAATTTTCCAAGAATGCTCTCCACCTTGATGGCAAGTTTCACCGATAGACTACACATTCAAGGTTTAAATTTTCATTAAAATTATCATAATTTTGTAAAAAAAATCCTAAAAGAACAAATGTGAATTCGGTGATTGGATAATTGGCTTATTATTTCTGATATGATTCACATACTAAGTCACTATAATTCAAAGAGAAAGAAAAAAGGCACACAACTAAAAGCAAACACTCAATTTAATCATAACACATAGTAATAAAAAAGAAGTCAAAGTGGCAAGTAAATGACATAGATAAAGAAGAGAAGATGGATAAAAGACAAAGAGAGAGAGAAAGATACCCATTTAAGATTCTTAATATTCTCTTATTTGATTTATATAATTGTTTGCTATGGTTTTTTGAACCTTAAAATATGCAGTCATACTTCTAATAATTCTTGAATTTTTATTAACTAATCCCATATTTTAGAACATTTCCCTGATTTTTTTAGATTTTCCAATTATCTTAGTGAATTAGTCTTTGCATGGTAAAATACCCATCAAGATCAAAATTGCAAACCATGAATATAGTATAGGAATATAAGGAAAAGGCTTCCTCTCTCTCTCTCTCTCTCTCTACATTCCTTAACCAATCAAAAAAAAATTCTTTACATTCCTTGGGAAGTGCCTGAGGTGAAGATTTCAAGACTGGTCATTGTTATCAAAAGGAGAGACAAGAATATATGCTCTACCTGATTCTCATATTCTCTCTTTTTCTCTATATTATACTCCAACCTACACTCAGTAAAGTTGATAATGTAGACTTGTAAAATATGATAATAAAACTGTACAGTGTGTAGAACAGGGAAGAAAAGAAGAAATAAAAGAAGAGAAAGATTGGAGAGAAGATGAAATCTTGAGTGCATGACACAGCCCCTTTCTATTTATATATAAAGTTGAATATGAAACATTATTATTATGACTATCCAATGGTTTAAAGGAGTGGAGAAATCCAAGGAGGCAATTGTAGAAAGGATAATTATTATGACTATCATGGTTGAAAACTTTGGATTTGTTTAAAGACTTCTCAGCTGAAGACATTTACAGGAATTGGGAAGTGGTGGCTTCTACAACTTCCATGAAACCTATTGTGCAGGAATTGTGGTCCCCACCAACACAACAAAGAGTGAAATTGAACTTTAATGGGAGTTCAAGAGGTAACCCGGGCCCTTCAGGTATAGGAGTATTCAGAGATGAAAATGGCAGAAATGTGGCTTTGTTTTCAGGACCAATAGGAGTGGGGGACTCATTGAGAGAGGAGGTGATGGCCTTGCTTCAAGGTGTAAGATATGCAAAACAGTTGGGGTTACACCAAATTGAGATAGAGGGAGACTCTAAATTGTTAATTGAGTGGCTGCCATCTAGTAAGTTGGGAGCCTGGATTTATAGACAGCCCATAAGGGAAATCCTCAACATAACAAGGGAGATTGGTGCATGCTTCAAATGGACAAGGAGATCAGCTAATGGTTTAGCTGACACGTTGGCTAAACAAGGGACTGTGAGGGAGAGTATGTTCTGGGCAGTTTTGTAAGAAAGATTACTGGGGGCTCAACACCTACTTAGGGGTTGACAGCTGTACTTAAATCTGGAAAGTTATTTTAATGAAGTTACCGTTTCCAATCAAAAAAAAAATGTTCAATATGAAACAGAAATTACAATTATAACCCTGCTGCCAATAATAAAGAAAGAACCACATAAAATAAAGTTGATAATCTGATATATAACTTCTCAATATGTAGAAAATTAGTTTTCATTTTTTTGTAAGAAATATAGAAACGTAGGCAGAACACCCCAAGAAATGATGTTTCATATGGTGGTTCATATACTTCAGCATCTATTGAAATCAAGGTCTCTGTTGATGTTTTGTATATTGACCTGATTAGGCAGTCATAACTCATAATATGGCTTTCTTTCTATTTTCTTCTTATCCCATTCATTTATTCTAGCATATTCCCATTCTTGCTGGTCAAAGAAAATGGTAAAATAGAGAATAATGTCCCTCCTAATTAGCAAGATACTTTCATGTTTTCTTTCTCAATTCTCACAATATTCCAGAAAAAAATAAAGGCAAATTAAAACTAGAGAAATATCTATTGATAAAAAAATTGAAGATATCCATTTGTTGAGAATGTCAGCAGAATGAACTAAGTTAATTTGATTCTAGATCAACAAAGGTAGGGATGCATTTAACTGAACATGAATACTTACCATCATATATACAGGCATTAAAATCAAAATCTTCCCGAGCCATGGACATCAAATATGATGTTTGACATGAAAAGCTGTAAGATGGCATCCCTATATTCAGCTCGTCCCTAGGGAACAAATGAAAGTTGTATCTGTGACAGAAATCATAAGTTAATCAACAACAGGACAATTATTAGATACTCAAAATTGTGTCCTGAATCTCATGGAACTCATCAGGACTATTTTGACTTTGTAGAAATGTAGTGAACAAAAAGAAAAAATATAGAAACTAAATTAGTAGATAAGAATTCAAAATAAGTATCCTCTAGCGAATTTGAGAAAGGAAATTAGTGATGGTATACCAGCATAAAATGATTAATACAATACAAGTATTACAATCAAGATATTAAGCAATGTCGAAAGAGGCACATTCACAGAACAAGTGAGACCTTTCTGATATAAACTTACTAGGATATAATAAAATATAGGTACTACACAAGCAAAACACAATCAACACATCAAACAATCAACATCTTGAGAAATTCATAGGAAACTGAGACTTTAATTTTATATACTTAGATTGATTTGGGTGAGGTTGATTCCTTTTCCCTTTTTAACATCAAAAAAAAAAAGAAAAAGAAAAATCGTGTTCCCTGAACGGCTATGGATATATGGCTATGAACAAGCTATGCTATGTTTTTTTTTTATCAGTAACAGGAAACTTTCATTAAATTATAAGAAGATTAAAATACAAAGGTGGGGGGAGGTAAACCCTCTTACCMCCCCCCCCCCCTAACAATAAGATTACATGGTAGCCTAAAACAAATGGCTTCTTCCCACCCCCTGTTTGGCCAAAGCATCTGCAAATGAATTAGCACATCTTTTAACCCACCGGACACGCACATCCATTTCTTGGGTTAGCTACTTGAAATGCCTTTTTTCATTAATGTATGCCCATAACCCATCATTTGCCTTCTCTATCCAGCCAATTACCACTTGCGAATCGCCTTCGATAATCAACTTATTTATATTCAACTCCTTAGCCCTTTTTACCCCCTCCAGGAGGGCCTGAATCTCTGCTCTCAAAGAGTCTGCAACTCCAATTGATCCAGAAAAAAAGAGCTATAACTGAACCTGCCTCTGTTCTGAACAAGCTATGCTATGTTCTAGAGCTATTGTGTGGAGCATATAGTTGACAAGACCACCTTCAGACCCAATAAAGCCCTAACGTTAAGCAAGGCATCCTCCTTGAAATTGAACTGCCACATAACTTTCTTTGTGGGATAGAGGGCAAGATGTGCTTCTAAGAAGAAGCTTTAGTTTGGTTGAATGCCCTTAAATATGAATTTTCCCACCATAACAAAGATGATGATAAGAGAGTATCATTCAGGGAGCATCACAAATGAAATGATGACAAAAGAATTCTTTTAGACATGCTGTTTTTATCACCATGTTTATGATTGGGAAGACAACCTTTGTAGAGCTCTTGGCATGCCAATCAACAAACTTGGATTGGTAATTGACCAAATATAAAGGGTTTAGGATGCTAAATTCCTCTTTTAATCATGTTATTTATCTCTGAGCATTGGCTTTCCCTACAAAATTGAGGGTTTTCTTATGAGAAAATAATGACTAAGTCCTTGTTCTGAATACACACAACACACAGTGAGAGAAGGGAGCTAGAACCACCTATTCACAATATAAGGCAAGCCCTATAAAGCCTTTAGGGCTGGGAGGTTCAGGCACCTCCTAGACTTTGCTGACTTTGAGTTTGAATTCATACCAAGGCAACACCTCAGCAAGTAGGTGACTGGACAAAAGCCAAGTCATGCATCCTGGGCTATTAGAGATTATGCTTTACACAACTAAGCCTATATGGGGAACATTGTTGCCTCATTAACACTGATTGACCCTTTTATTTTATTTTGCTTCACAGATTGCCTCAAGGGGTATACACTTGGGCAAGGGGATCCTGTTCAGCTCTCCCATTCATTAACAAGGACCTTCATAAATGTTTCCCGGTATACTCAGATATTAGGAGGATATCTGAGTAAGGATCAAAGGTTCATGATGTTTGACCTTCAATTCTAATCTAACTTCCATTAATGTTTATGGGGATGAGTTTGGCAAACTAAAGGCTATTCATATCTTTTCAATTACTTCACAGCTATTCATATTTTTGTTTCTTCTGTTTCTTTTTCTTTTCATTACTATCATATCTTTTTCCTTCTTTCTTTTTGATAAGTAAAATGCTTGGCTGAGATGAGGATGTTGAGATGGATGAGTGACAAGACTAGAAATGATAGAATCAGAAATAAGCACATCAGAGAGAACTTGGGAGTAGCTCTACTTAGTGAAAAGATGAGTAAAGTCGATTAAGATAGTTTAGGCATGTGCATAGTCAACCAATAAATGCACCAGTGAGGAGTGACTTGGTACAAGTGGAAGGCTCAAAGGGCAAGCAAAAGACCAAAGAAATGTGTTTTGAAGTGGTAATAAATGACTTAAGGACTTAAATTTGACAGGCTCTATACATGGTTCTTGATAAAGAAAACAAGATTCATGTAGCCAACCACAAATAGATTAAGTTTATGTTCAATTGTAGAGGTAAAACACTATTAAATTAATGAAAATGCAGGAAGGAGAGGGGCTATAACGGTAAAACCTCAGGCCAAAAGTGAGAATGCGGGTTCAAGTCTGAGAACTGATAGTTCAGGCAAGAAAGAGAGAGAAGAGAGAAATGATAGAGAGACAGACTATTCAATTGGTCGGTGTATAGACCCAACCCAAGAAAAATGTATTTATATCAAAGAATGAATGGACAATGCTGTCCTTACAAGAAAAGATAAAATACAAAGTTGGGCACTAGTATACATGCCCCAACAATAAGATACAATAAAGAAATAAAGACAAAACTACCCCTATTTTCTACACTCCCCCTCAAACTGATGCCAGGGAACAAGCATTAGTTTGTCCATAAGAAAAACATGTCTGGCCCAAGTCATAGCTTTGGTGAAGAAATCAACAAGCTGCAAGCTAGATGAAACATGTGGAAGAGAAATGTAGCCAGCAAGGAGAATATCTCTAATGAAATGTCAGTCCACCTCCATATGTTTTGTAAGCTCATAGAAGACAGGATTGGACGCAATCTTGGCAGTACTCATGTTAGTAGCAAAGAGGGGAATGGATAAGAAATTGTCAATATCCATATCACAAAGTAGAACCTTATGCCGAACAATTTTATTATGAATCTTAAGCCAAACAATTTCACTACATACAAAGGACATTGCTCGATACTCCGCTTGAGTAGATGACTTGGAAACAATTTGTTACATCTTACATTTCCAAGAAATGATAGAATCTCTAAGAAAAATACACCAACCAGTAGTAGAGCAAAGGTATGTCAGGACAACCAACCCAATCAGCATTAGCATAAGCTCTAAGCAAAGTAGAAGATGAAAATGACAAAAAATAGCCCATGAGAAATTATTCCCCTAACATAACAATTTATCCCAAGTACAGTAGAAATATGGGGTTGGCAAGGAACAAAAACAAACTAGCTAACAAGCCGAGCTGCATAAGAGATATCCAGCAAAGTCATAAATAGATAAGACTACCTACAAGTTGCCAATACAAAGTAACATTTGTCTCAAAGAACCATTCAACCTAAAAGCTTAAGCTGTTAGGTGAGGTCTTTGAATAGGTTGATATTCTCTAAAACGCCCCCTCACACGAAAGCCGATTGGGCTTGAAGCATGAAAAAGCAAAGGCCCACCCATACCTTGTGCTGAAACTTATTTAATTATAATGGGGGTAACGAGGATTGAACACTAGACCACTTGGTCAAAATGGCTCTGATACCATCTCAAAGAACCATTCAACCTAAAAGCTTAAGCTGTTAGGTGAGGTCATTGAATAGGTTGATATTCTCTAACAATCTAGAAGCAACTCTCGATCATCCTTGCTCAATTTGACATTGAGTTCCAACAAAATCTCAACATTTTGGAATCAGTGAGGCGAGCCATCTTTATTAAATCAAAGGCATCCCTTTGTTGCTTGAAAAAAATATCCTTGAGGCCATCTCTGAATTTGAAGACCCAAAAAATAAACAATTGGCCTAAGATCTTTCATTTTAAAGGAGCTACTAAGGAGAAGCTTCAAGTAATCAATACCATCCACATCATCCCCTGTGATTAGGATATTATCAGCATATACCAGAAGAAGAGCAACCCATGTGCCCACTTGAGGATAAAGAGAAAATAATTTGAACAACTTTACAGAAATTCGGCATCCAACACAACTGTATGGAAATGTTCAAACCAAGCCCGTAGAGCTTATTTAAGACCATAAAGAGATTTCTTTAGTTTACATACCAAGTGGGACTCATCACAGTACCCGGGAGGAAGTTTCATATACTCAGTTCCTGTAAATACCCATTAAGTCATTTTTTATGTCTATTTGATGAATTGTCCATTGCCTAATAGTAATAATGGCCAAATGTAAGCGAACAAAAGTCATATTGGCAACAAGAGCAAACGTCTCATAATAGTCAATGCCATATTCTTGTTTGTAACCCAGTGTTACTAAGTGTGTTTTATATCTATCAATAGTACCATCTGATTTTAATTTCACTAAGTAGATCCAATGGGTTACCTATGATAGAAGCACCTAAAGGAGGAAAGACAAGATCCCAAGTATCATTTTCCCACAGAGACACAATAGATAAACTATGGTTGGAAGGAAACCAATACGATCAAGAGGGTGAGAAATACAAGAGGAGTGACAAGGGAATAAATAAAAGTAAGGCAGCAAGAGGAGAAGAACTTGTAATGGTGGTGGGTGAAGGAGGATGACTAGGCTCTAGTGCTAAAGAAGGAGGCATAGGCATTGAAAGAATTGGATGCTTCCTATAATAAACTTCAGCTACTAAGGACTAAGAGGAGGATCACCTGCAAAACCAAAGTGATGCAAAACAAAAAAGGATGATGCAAGCAATTTAACAATATGCTCAAAGAAAGAGATGCCCTCAAGAAAAATGACATTACAGGATATGTGAAGATGACGGACCTTGGGATCATAACAGGGAAATCCCTTGTTTTCCAAATGTTAGACAGTTTTGTATGCCCTTAGCTCCAATCAGATTTGATATACT